TTTATATCGTATAGGTATACTTATAAAATATAAAACCTCTTATCAAAAACCGTCATGAGTATAGGCGTGTGCAGTACATGCAGCGGTGTGCATTATATCACGCCTCTAGATAACCGCTAAAATATTGTATAATAATTAATGATACAATAATAAATAATTACCTTATGAGAATCGTATATATACCAATAAACATTAAAATATAGCGTATACTACCTGTTTTTAGAATTTTTAGGTCAAGATAATAGATTTTATGATATCGAGATTTTGATTATTTTTTAGATATAAACTCAACTCGTGTGGTAGCGGGGGACATTTAGTACATACAGGCACTAGTAGATGATAATATTGTAGTTTATAATACCATTGGGTAGTGCCGGATTCCTTAGTTAAAATGATGATGGCAACTGTTTAACGGAGATGTGAAGTATAATATTATTATGGTCGTGTGCTAATATCATATTATTATAAACAACGACACAACATTCGGGCGGCGACGTAGTCGTGGGTCCGACAAATTTCACTATTTATAATGTTATAATATGTACCATAATATATTATATGCTACCTAAATATCCCGGCTATTTGCCCTTGTGCAGTTTTTTTTTTTGTGGTAAATCCTATATATACTATACGCTGTATAGGTATTTAGGTGTACTTATCTCGGTTTAAGTTCACGTATAAATCGGCGTCAGTGTTCCTAGCTTTGTGAAATAATTCGACATATAGATGGGCAACCGCAAATCGAATTGGATTTAGCTATATTTTTTAATGTGGTTTAAACTACTTGCTCTTTAAACTTTTTTGACATCTCTAAAAACAGTCTTTGAGATTTTCGTAAAATTCAACTGACTAGTAATTGAGTATGTATAAGCTATAAACATACATTTAATTTTAAGATATTATAGTTTCTTTATTCAAATCCATAAGTGCTGTGACAATTTGATGCATGCGTATGTACCAACTCTCCCCGATTATCCAATGGCAACCATTTATAAACACAAAATATTTTAATTTTCATTGTGACTCTTAAGATCCTTGTTTGACCACCTCCTTAAAAATGCGAATATCGGAAAATCCTTTTGGCAAATCTAGATCATTAGATGAACCACTATTTCAAATTTCAAGTGCGTACGTATAGTAATTGTTGAGATGTATAGTGATTAATGAGTGAGTGAGTGGTATTTAGCTCATCTATACATATAATCCAATAATTGTATATAATATACAATATAGCCGGGGTGGCCACAACGAGGCTCGTGAGCCGCAGTGGCTCTTGAGTCAGTTTCGTGCGGCTCTAAATTATTTCTATAAATAAATATATAATAAAACTTTAAATAATTGTCAAATAAATGTTCTTTCATTTATTATAGAATGAAAATTATGTCTTAATTTTATAAACATCTCGTATCAATGTGACTCGCTGGGAATTAGCTTCATAAATTTGCGGCACTCAAAATTGAGATTAGTGACCACTAGCCACCCTTGCAATATAGATTTATAGTAAATCGTTAAACCAAAATTGTAAATTCTTTGTCGCTACCGATAGATTATTAATCTATTATTAATCATCATTTCGATTAGGTACCTTCGAAGTTTTTCAAACGATGCCTTAAAAGTTGCCCTAAAAACGTTTCAACAACGATAATATTTTTTGCCGCCTTTTTTCGTATTTAAATAATATTATATCTGCTTAATTACGATCGATGTGGCAATTATTTATGACGACTTTACATACAATTTTGAGTTAAAAATAATACACTATAAAGATGGCAGCCGGAAGTAATAATTAAAAAATAATAGCAAAAGTAAATAAAAATACGGACTTTTAAAAACATTCACTATGATATATTGATACGTATATAATATCGTGTATACAATGTACGTGTTCGCCATGAATACCTACGTCATACATTTAAAAATAACTGCGCGTGTATTACAATTTTTATTTTTTCTCTTATTGAGTATTGACAAGGTATGTGCTCTTTCGCCAGACGAAACGGTAAAAATTATTGTCACTTCGCGTTTCACTTGTCTGTTTGTAACAAAAATTCCTTGTTGATTTTTTTCTTTGGGTATCATTAATGTATTTTTCATTCAAAAATTAAATGTTATTAGTATATTATACTTACCTTTATAATTACATATTGGTTGGAGTGTATTGGGACGCAATTATTTAAATGTTATGGAATGGTGCTAATAATCGTTTTGATTTGATTAGGTAGCTGTATAATATTATGCAATTTATATTATATACCTTAGTTGCTTAGTTAGTCGATCTAATTAGTGCAGATTTATACTCCACTAGAATTATATTTAATTTATGTCGAGCTGATACATTTTTTTTTACGTAGGGGCTAACATTAATTACATTATTAAAAATCTATAACTGTTTTCATTAAATTCAAAATGGTTAGGCTGATCAAACAGGTTATATGTAAATGTAATAACCTAGTGTCCGCGCTCGGTCGTTTAAACTATAGATAGGTTGGCGAATGAGTCGCGTACTTACTTGGAATTCCTTCGAGAAACATAAATATATTATGTTTCAATGTAAGGTCAATGTAATCATCAGACATCATCGTATAGAACGATTGTATTATTTCTTGTTGATTGAATTAAACGAGCTCACGTTTCGCCAATGATCGAGGGGAATTCATATACAAAAAATCCTAACCACACGACACTTATATTGCTGACATTGTTATATTCGATGGTTGTTTCAGAAACATTTTCGGTAGCTTTGATAGGATTTTCTATTTGATCTTAAATAATATTATGTATGCAACGTTTAAGAGGGGAGAAGGGAGGAAGCCGGTGTTTAAACATTTTTGCTTCCGTTCCAGTTTCACTCTTCTACTATGGGTCTCGTATTTTTTTTTACATGCGCGGTGTGCAAAACACTACACCCACATATATCCGCCTGTAATAATTTCTACCGGGGTAGTCGTCGATAGTCTGATTGTGTTTTAATAATGTACCTATACGCTCTCACCAAACCTGGGCCACGAAGGCACCTGAAGTCCGTAATATGTGTACCTATATCTATCTATCTACTCTTATTAAGGATAACGACCGGGATGAAGAGTCTTCGTATGACATCAGCGCAACAAATTGTAATTTTTTATTTACTCGTTGCGTCATCGAAGATTCTCTTTCTCTATCCACCGGTTTGTCTCGTTAAGTCATAGAGCAGTGAACTGTCTGCGTCATCGTCGAAAGGTGTTCAATTAATTATGAAACACAGTTGTTTAAAAATAATGTCGTTCCTCCCACGCCTCGCTCGAGTGTGTGTGTGTATGTGTCCGTTGTTGTTACAATTATTTATGTCGCGTACCGGAAAAAGAATATCGCCCTACGAGTTTTTTTTTTCGATTTGTGGGTGGTTTATACTGTCTTGCTGAAATAGTGAATTCGTTGAGATATCGTCGAATTCTCCCTATAAATGTATTATTACGTGCGAATATGAAACCCGGGGATCGTCTTTCGCGGTGACCGTTCGAATCTCTCGATTTTGTCAGGCCAAAATTGTGCAATATTTCTCTCGCTCGTCACACACACTAATGTGTATAAACCGACAATACTACGGAAGGAAAGACGGCGGTTGTCGTCGGGGGTAGGGTATTAGACATCCGATACAGCCATACCGGGGCTGCCGCAAACTGAGTATACCGCTAACACGGTACACTCCACCGCCGCCGTACAAACAAAATCGTACTCTGCCCTAGCAGCAGCAGCTGTCTACTACTACATACAACCACATTATAATATTATTTCGTTCGTCGATCGATTCGGTCCGCCACTCGGAGGGGGCTATTAAATACTTTGACAGTTGGTTTTCGTTTCGTTAATCTTGTTAATATACTAATTATTTTAGTGTACTTCCTATACCTCATGAATTCATGATAATGTCATATTGTCATTCAACAATGAAAGACCGTACGAAACGGCTTAGGGCATAATAAAATTTACAATTTAGTAAATTTATTGATAACAGGAGCGTTCCGGAATCGGCATTCGGCGGTCACACTGTCGGATCCGGGTCCGGCGCGCCGCGGCGCTGGCTATGTGAAAATAAAAAAAAACAAAAAACACCGGCAACGTGTACACTAACTGGCCGCGGCAAACGCCGGGTGCCTGCGACGGCGACGACGTGGCAACACTGTCGGACGGCGTTCGCGGCGCCGCCACCTACACTCCCTCCGCCCTGTAAATCGTATTTCGTCTCTTCCCTCGGACCGCCGGGCGCCGACGTTTGCGAAATCGAAAACCCAATGACGATAACGCAGTAAGCCAGTAACGCACACCTACACAAAAAACACGATCGAATGCACGCACACGCTGTCGTTCTACGATATTTTTGTACACAATAAATAATAATATCAATAATATTATCATGTACCCGTCGACGATAACCGTGTGTAGTGTGTATAATAATAATATTATATAATAGTGTACTAGTAGTAGTAGTTGTAGTACTACAACTGTGAACTGTAGTATAGTACATTCGTTGTACGTAGTACTGTCATAGTATATTATTATTCGACGTAGTACTAAATAGTAAGGGTAACGATTAACGAACGATATTACGATAATAATAACAATGGTAATTAATGAACAATAATAAAAGCGTAACACGGATGCACAGCGACCCAGAGTCATGCGGGACGGTGGTAGTAGATAAAGAAACCGTTGCGGTGTAGGGACGGGGACTGATGAATTACTGATTAGGGAGGTGTACTGTGTATAGTACTGTGGCAAGTCGTCGTGGTAGCGGCGGCGGCGGAGGAGGACGTCGTTTCGCAACAATGTCGACCATTATTTTCGGTACACCTTCGATGTTCTTCGCATCACCGCTGTCCGTCAACCTCCCGCACCCTCGACGCGATGGCACAACACGTCGTGATATTCGCCTCAGCGGACACACGTGGTCGTCCACCACCTTCCGATTTATTCGCGCCGGCACTCAATAATCTTCAGTCTCGTTTTCGTTCTCATTACAGCGCCAACAAGATCGTGATCAGCAACGTGCCCAGCGGCGTTCGATTCGAACAGTTGGATCAGATACTATTGCAATTTGGCCAGGTCAAAGACATCGAGAAGCTCAGCCAACGCGATGGACCAACACAGGTCATACAGATTACGTTCGAATCCACCGAACAAGCACACAAGTGAGCATGCAAATGACCACCCATCCCGTCCCACCATGCACAAACTAAACACTCTGGAGTCTGGGACCATCTAAGATTAGTTTCTCCAATGTTACGTTTCGTGACTGTAAAATCGTTAGCTTCCGGCCATATTTTTGAATTTTTTATTCGATACTATGATATTTTTGATATTGGTATTGATGATATATTGATCCATACAATGTCATAATCCTTGTGAGATGGTTGTGGAATTTTATAGAATAGCACAATTAAACACTAGGTATTCTAATTTCTAATGTAAAACGCATATCTGGTACAATGTTTAGTAAACGTACATTTCCCATTTACTAATTAAATGTATCTTATTTTTATAGTGCATTAGCTAATTTGCCAGGCTTAGAGCTTGAGGGTTGCCAGATAAAAGTTGAACCAGCTATGGAAAGGAGAAATCGTAGTGCTATAAGACAAAGGACCTATGGAGCTCCTGGCGCTACTCCTACTATTGGGAACAGACAAACAGAGTTCCCGTTACGTATACTAGTGCACAGCGATATGGTTGGTGCAATTATTGGCCGAGGTGGTTCTACAATCAGACAAATAACACAACAAACCAGAGCCAGGTAAAATAATATATTTTATTAATAATATTACCTATTATTTTATCAATTAAAAAAAGAAAGTTTTGCTTAAGTTAATCTGTTATTGTTTTCAATTATCTAATTGCAATACTAAGTAATAAATTATGTTACAGGGTTGATGTTCATAGAAAAGATAATGTTGGGTCCTTGGAAAAAGCTATAACAATCTATGGTAATCCAGAAAATTGTACTAACGCATGTCGCAAAATTTTGGAGGTCATGCAACAAGAAGCTACTAACACAAATAAAAGGTAATAATTTTAAAATTAAATTTAACCAACTAATTCATTGTATTACATCTGAGAAATAACGTGTTACATACAATTACTATATGGATTTCTTAATTATATAATTTTAGCGATGTGATTCTGAAGATCTTAGCTCATAATAATCTGATCGGTAGAATAATCGGAAAGGAGGGTAATACGATCAAGAGAATTATGTCTGAGACTGAAACGAAAATTACTGTATCTAGGTAAGTAAAAATACAAACATGAACATGTTTGTAAAAATTAGATAGTAATCAATAATTAAAATAATTATAGCATAAATGACATCAACAGCTTCAACTACGAAAGGATAATTACTGTCAAAGGCTCAATAGAGAATATGTCTAAAGCAGAGGCTCAAATTAGCGCAAAGCTCAGACAGAGTTTTGAAAATGATCTACAATCGATGGCTGTAAGTATTTACTCTACAGTTATTATTTAAACGAAACCTATTATAGTTGAATTTACTGACCTTACATTTGTGTACTTTTGTTTAGCCTCAAACTGTTATGTTCCCTGGACTTCATCCAATGGCAATGATGTCAGCAACAGGTATAACTTATCCAGGCCGCGGTGGTCCAACTAGTTATCAACAATTTGCACCAGCACCATATCCTCCCATGTATCCTTCTACCATTCCGCCAATTAACCCAGCTCTAGCTGCAGATGTACAGGTACACATATAAATTGATATAAATGCATTAAATTTTATAACATTGATTTATCTTCGTTAAACGCATGTAAATATTATTTAATTTTAGGAAACAGCATTTTTGTTCATACCAAACAGTGCCGTTGGTGCTATAATTGGTACTAAGGGTTCTAATATTCGTAGTATGATAAGGTTTAGTGGTGCATCAGTCAAAGTTGCATCCACAGAAAATGAAAAACAAGGAGTAGTAGGTAGCGCAGGTGATGCGAACAGTGCACAACAAGCTAGCCGAAAAGTGACAATTGTTGGTACAGCTGATTCCCAGTGGAAGGTATAATACAAATCGATTTTATCATAATTACTATATCTTGGAAGTTGATGTTTTTTCATTCATTTTAATACATTTCGAACATTTTGAAGTCTTTTTGTAATTGTGGGTCATTTAACCAATTTTCACTAATAAAAAAAAAATTCACAACTTTTTATATTGTTTATTATTTATGTCGAGTTTTATAAATAAAATTCATTTTAATTATCTAAACTTTTAAACTATTCAATTAACATAATATTTGTATTTTTTAAACTAAAAAATTATACATTTATACAATTTTTTATAAAATTTCATAATGTCATATTTTATTTTTGAATGTAAACATTTCATTTACAAGACTTAATTTTATTGTCATTTATTAACAATTTGAGGTTATATTTGCTTTCTATGACGTCATAATTAAATTAATTTTGGGTCATCAATTTTCATGCCTTAGTCATTACCTAGTTATTATGTTTAAATTTAAATAATTAATTGTTGCTCTTATACAGGCTCAAGGTATGATATTTGACAAATTACGGGATGAAGGTTTTGTCCCAAACAATGAAGAAGTCAGATTGACTGTAGAAATATTGGTGCCTAGTAGCCAAGTTGGTCGCATAATTGGTCGCGGTGGATCCAATGTTAGAGAATTGCAAAGAGTAACTGGATCCATAATTAAACTGCCAACACAAGGATCAACTGATGGTACTGAAGATACTACCACAGTACACATTATTGGTCACTTTTTGGCTACGCAAGTAAGTCACTTATAATTATATGATGTTGAATGCTTTTTTAAGAAAAATGATTAAAATTAATATGCTTATGTTTGAATTCTTAGTCGGCTCAAAGGAGAATCCGTTCGATGGTTGCATCTGGAGCAAATCCAGTGCCACGTCCACAACAACGCAACAGCAGACCCACAGAAACACCACAACAGTGAGTCGATGACAGTTACCATTAGTTCCTGGCAAATATATCTCCTCCACCGACGTTTAAGATTTCTACATTACAAATAATGATATTTGCATGATACATTATTGTTGTCGGTTTATTTGCTACAGGAACTAATGGCTGTCTTTCCTCACTACAAATTAAGAGCTACTGTTGACCTTATAGGTCAAAGGAGGGGATGTGACTGATTGCGTGACCAAGAGTACAAACGATTGTTAGGGTATAGACGGAGACGATTTTTGCCTCTATCTACCTTTGACAATCGGCTCTTTTTATACATGATTTAAGTTAGGGATTTTTTTTTTTAATTAAAAAAAAAGAGGGAGACAAAATTTTGAAAAAAATACCTTTTTTTTCCTTAAATTTATTTTTGATAAATTGTTAAAAGTTATTTAATTTTTAATTTATTAATTTTTTTTTGTTAATTTTTTTTTATATTTAAAAAGTATATATTATATATATATTTATATATTTATAAAAATTTTATAAAAAAAAAAAAATAACTATGGTAGGATGTAGCTCTCCCTTCCCAGGAGGGTTGCATAGAAAATGGAGATACAAAATTTCAAACTAAGTTACAACACCCCTCAAAATTAAAAACTAAAGCTAAACATTTTTTTTTTTTGATATTTCTAATTAACATCTTCTCCCATAAAAACAACTTAAATAAAACGCAATCTATTATTACTTTTTTTTTTTGCTCTTTTACTAGGTTAACACATTGACCTGGCTACAAATTTAGCGATAATCCATCCATCCCCCACTTACAAAAATTAAACAATGCCACAGTAGCATTTCTAAATGGACTAGGAGGAGGTCTAGTCCATAAAATAATTGTTATACTATATTTAATTATAAATAATGATATAAAAAATATATATTGTTGACATTTAACAATTTTGTCTCCAGCATCTTGTTCTAGACTTACATACTGAATAATCAACACATACTCAATTAATTATGGGCATTATATAATTTTAAAATTATAATTCAAAATAACTGTCTGTGACTTAAAACATTGTGATTCACATCAATAGAATATTTTTTTGTAATTTATACACTACACAATAGTTTATATACAGTTTTATTGTTATATTTACATTTAATAATATATATTTAGAACAAGAACGCTCTGACCAAGCAACCCCAAGCTTTACGAAGCGCTTAACCAAAGATTCATTATACATAGCTCGGTTACTGGGGGAATTATAAACAATTATTGACTTTACATTTTTTTCGGTTAGAAAATGTCGTGAAACACTAATTATTATTATTATTAACGCAACTTCATGGGCATTTGAATATGTAACAAAAAAAAAATAATTAAATATACAGAATAATTGAAAGTTAATTAATTATTATTATTACTATTATAGGATAGATATTAGTAGATTCGTGGGCACATTTCCTCCCGTATCTATTTTTTTCGTTTTAAATTTATAATTATACATTCATTTTGTATTTGAAATAGTAGTTAAATCTGTACAGACGGCCGTTTGTATCTTGAACCATTACCGATGTTGTTATATTTTATAATATCAACAAATTTATATTAGTTATAGTTGAAATTAAAACGGCTGATTGATATGATAACACATTTTATATTAATTGTATTGTACAAGAATCGTAAATGGGGTTTTTATTTACTACTGCTGGATATCCACCAATCCCAATTTACAATAATTATACATGTTTTACAACTTAAAGAAAAAAACAAAAAACAAAAAAAAAAATTGGATTATTCAATATTTATGTGTATTTTAGAACTATATTATAAACCATTTATTATTTAATTTTTTTTTCAATTAAAAATTGTGAAAATAACGTCATTTATTTTACATTTAACCAAAAATCAATATTACAAGATAATAATGAAATAACTTTAATTGTGCTCGTCTTTAGTTTTTATTCTTATTATTTATTCTTATTATTATATCTTTGAGTGCTTCATTTTTATAGTTAATCTCATTTTTGGGCTTTAATTTTTTTTTCTTGGACAAAATAATCACTGTATTTATGACATGAACGCATGTACAATTTTTTTTATTTATGTCTACTATTTATATTTTAAAGCTTGTAATTGTTGTTTTATTAGAATTATATATATTAAAAAAAAAAACAGTACAAGCTTATGACAAGAATACCCAATCGGTTAATAATAATTACCTATTTACTTGTCGATTTTAATTTTAATTTAAAGAAAAAGTAGTACTTTTTACACAAAATAATATCATAATTGTTTCTTTTTAAAACAACAAGGTGTATAATTTAAATTACACTTGATGATTTATGTGGAATCGGTTGTTGTATAAAGTTCTGAATAAACTTCATATTATCTAACACATTTTCAGGCGTTCAAGTCATTAGATAAAAACATAACTTAAATAAAAAATATAATATGTTTATGTATGTATTTAGATCACCCATAAGCCGTAAATAAAATAACACAAAAATTAGCATTATAATATTTATAGAATTATTGTATGCTTAATATTTTTTTTCTTAAAAAAATTAAATTTTTTATTTCAAAACTTATCATAGAATAGTTTGGTGAAAGGGTTAGTAAAAAAAATTAAATAAACGAATAATAATAATTAAAATATAAATAATGATTTATAAACTATATTTCCATAACACCACTGGTAGGTAAGCCGACTGTAAAAAATTTAAATAAAAATAACAAATATATATAATTAAAAGTAAAAAATAAATTAAGACCGAGAAAGAGCTAAGTAAAACGCAGGGAAAAAAACCACGACAGCCTCACCCGGACACAACAGGAGTATATATTATTTTGATATTTTTATTTTTGGGGGGGGATGTTAGGCGATAAGATATGCAGTTTTTTTTTCTACAATCTGTCCATCAGCCGTTGAGTGCATTTTTTTCCAATGAATCCAATGTATCGTTTGTAATAGAATTATAATATCTGTGTATGCATGCAGTCAGGACTAAGATAATTATTTACGTACGTTGCATTTTGTATGAATTATTATTATTATATATATATGTGTCGGAGATATTATTATGTATTCGGTTATCTTGTTCTTGTTTAATTTTGACGACGTTCCGCGCGCTGTTAATTAGTTTTGTATACAAACGTGCATTTTATTAATATGTGTATAAGTGTCCAGTGTTTGTGAACGCTGTGTTACAGTCTCCTTTTTCTACCATGGGAAAAAAATTAAATTATTCTAGTTATAAAAAATTTTAAAAATAAAATAATCGTATATATGTATGTATGTGTATAATATATATATTATATATATTTGTTTGTCTAATTATTATACCTTTTTGCTCTCCAAAGTTCCTAGATCCATCTCGCTCTCTCTTTCACTGTGTTCCTATTATTCTCTAATATTTATGTATGGTTCCTACGTATAGATTGTTCATTGACGTGTGTTTAGCTTTCTTAAAAATAGGGGCACCGTCGCACAGAATACGGTATATAGAGATAAATATACCTTTTTTGATATATTGTATATGATAAAAATAAGCCTCGGGGGAGGGTTAACATGATCCATCCCTGTAGGCACATTTGTAAAGAAAAAAATTGACTAATGCATAAGATTATAATAAGATCATATTTTCATGTGATGCTTTGATGATAATAATATTTTCCATTGTATTTATAAGTGTTACCAGTGTTTTAGTGGTCGGAAATGCTAAAATTGTTAAATAAAACTAACCATTCATCATATTTCGATAATTTAATGACAATTTGAATACATTCCATTTTTTTTTAAATCTATATTATTACATTTTCTTATTTATCATGAATATAAATTCGGCTTCGACAACTGGGTCATTATCACTACATAATATAATATATAAATATATTTTGCCGAAAGTTTAGATCCAGATCTAACCAACGAATGAAATACTCAAAAATTCATCAAGCCGTTTAATTCTACAATTTATAAATATAATTATTTATTAACAAATGATTTAGATCAAATATATCATTACCATTATTATCATGTTGTACAAAAAACCAACCTTATTGTAAACATATTACCGTGCTCTAATCTGTTTCTATTGTATAAAACATCTATATCTATGTTATGTTATTTTATATTGTATTATTCAGTGTTGGGTAGTAACGTAACGAAAGTAACGCGTTACTTTGCTTGTAACATGTTACGTAATTTCATTAGAGTTATTTCCAAGTAACGAAAATGTAATGGAAATTACTTTTGAAAAGTAATTTCTATAGAATAACGTGTTATAACTTATAGTTTCGAATTATTAAGTACCTACCTACCTATTGCGAGATGAAAAAAATATATGTATAATACGGGTATTATTATGTTTACTAATATAATATAATATGTATACATACATAATTTTAACTCGCAACAATTCAATTTTCAATGGTTTTGATATTTGAAATGTCTAATTCCACAGTAAATCACTAGAACATTTTTAAATGTATTATTTAATTTGATTCCTTTAAATAGGTTTCCTATGAATAGCTTGTAGTTGTGCGGAAGACTAAGTTTTGTACGATACTATTAACTATACAGGTTTTATAAAGAATTTGCTTGTTCAATTTGCCTGCAAAAGATAATTGCCAAGAAATTTGAAATTTTTTTTTTTGTAAAGAGGAAGTAATGAGTTACATTTCTATTTTAAAAGTAAAGTAATTTCATTACAATTTTATTTGAGCAATATACGAGGAAAGTAACTTAATTACTTTTTAAAAGTAACTTACCCAACAATGGTATTATTTATACACAAGGTTAATATCCTAATGGCGGGTTGCATGAAAAATAAAATAATTTAATGGTTGAATATAATTTAGTGGGCCACTAAATCATAGTTACGGAACCATTAGCTCACTATTGGTTTGAAATTGATTGTCATTGCAACCCGGCATAAATAACTTAATTTTTTAAATGCCATACATACATTTAAATACATTTTTATTAAGAAATTCAACTAGAAGTTAAATATTATAGGTGTTTCGTCTTATCCCAGCACAGCCAACATAATTCGTTAAGAATGATTAAATACGCTCAGAATTAAATTTAACTAGGTAATATAATAAGTTTGTGAAGTATAGATTTATTTTTTAGGTTTTTTTTTTTGCTAAAGTGGATCGTGTATATATAATTATGAACAACTTACTATTATTTTATTTTTTTATTGAGAAAAATTAGGGTAGGTACTAGGTAGCCTATATTATAATACTAGTGCATTGCACAATTTATTATTGGAGAAATGTTATATTATTATATAATATTATGGTGACCCTAGAGGTTTTAAACTTTTGTCTATAAATGTATTTTATAGAATTTATTACATTATTATGCATACAATACTAACCTATTGATAAACTACAGTTTAGAAAATAGTTTCAAATCGTTTTCGTGTACCTACTGTGTGTTTCAGCTGAGCTGGTTGTTACTTGTTGGTAGGTAGGTACCTACTAGTTACTACGCATTTGAAATTTACCGAACATTCAAGGAAATTATATAAAACCAATTTGACAATATTAATTTTGAATGTTTAGCTTTCATGTAAGTATGTAACGTATATTTGTGATATAAATTTATAATTATTAGTACCTATAATGTATTTGTATTATACGTCGTAAATTGCACTATGCCACTATACAAAGCGTTTGGAAAATGGAAAATGAAACATTTGTATTCATCTGTCGACAGGAAGTTAACACTAAACATACTAATATGCAAATTAAATATTTATCTAAACTTTGACG